GGGGGGGGGGGGGGGGGGGGTCTCGGGGTGCAGCTGGCGCTTCCGGTTGTGCAGGTGAGCTAGGCTATCGTTTCTTTGTTTGTTGCGTGTGTATTGCATGAAATCGCTCTTGTCCGATTGGTGCTGCTGGTCGGAGTGTCATGGCGACCTTTTTGGGGACGATCGAGCATGCTCGTCGCAGTTCCACGCACGTTCGGTCCTCTAGCGTGTATCTCCTCATTGTGTGTGTGTTTTGCTTGTCCTCTGCTTTTCGTCTATGCCGCACCTCCAAATTTTCTCTGTTGTGACGAAGCTTGTCATATGTTCGCGTTTCTCGAGCAAGGCGAATATCGTCGGAAACAGTTTCCGATGAACACTTACCACGTTGTTTTTTGGTCCCTGCAAGCCTGACGTGTGCTGAAAGAAAGAGATTCCCCACAGACCGGTTCCGAATCTTGTCGTGATGCCCTCCCCCTCAAAGAGTTGGCAACAGGGTTTTCTTGTTGACGAGTTCAAAAATGGCATTGCCCCAAGTGGTGCTGTCAGCACCTCCGTGCTTCTGGTCTCCCTTGGGGGGTGAAGGGCGAGTTTCTGCGATCGAATGATTCCCCAATGTTCGGTACAAATTAGGTGAAGACCCAGGTGGTTTCAGAGTCTGCGAGCAACGGTCCTAAAAGTGGATGACGAAAGCGTGTCCCCACAAGAACACAGCGCTCCCACCGCTGGCAAGAAGCAATCGAGTTCCTGGAAGAAAGATCATGTCCAGAAAGACAAACAACAATCATGAGAGTGCTGCATGATAGCATGATACGGTGTGGGGCAACGGAAGCCCCATTCGCACAAAATGCAGTCGTCTTTTAAGCACACATGAGAACGAAGAATCTGTGAAGCCATCCGCATCATGAGCATCATACGAAGCGGAGGGAGTGTTGGTCAGCCGGGTAAAGCGGTCGACGCTAGTAAACACACACACACACACACACACACATCCCCCCTGTTGTTAACAGCCCCTACTTACCCTTTGATTACAAAGCAATCGTGTTTTTTATATCCCGCTACAAGACCAAAGTCTTTTCATTGGCCAGCCGATTAGCGCGGTCGTTGCTATAGTAGTTACGAAAACACATACACAAACAACGCGTATCACGCACGGCAGCAGTGTAGTGAGCCCTTGTGCGAGGCGGCGCCTCCGCGTGCTCCTGTTACTAGACCCTACGGGCAGCTTGGTCTCTCTGTGAGGTCGGACCTGTCACTTTCTCAGAAAAACGAAAAACCTACCCACCTTTTGCCCTCAACCGCAGTGTAGGACTGAAAGCGGGAGGGCAGGGAGTCATGGCCTCGTGTGCCTGCGTGCTTGGCTTGTTCGCCCTGTGACTGAGTCTTGTGTGGCTTGAGTTCGTTTTCGCGGGCAGACGAGCCGGGAGGGCGATCTTGTTGCCGTAGGTGACATGACATGACATGACATGACATGACATGACATAGCACACCCCGTGGACCGATTCGCAAATCTCAGTTACTCCACGACGAGAGGATGCATAAAATCCAAACGCTGCGTTATCCGAAAGCTCTCGATGATGCAGACGGCTCGAACGCCTACCCCCATTTTCGGCTTCGCCAACGTCTGTGCCCTCGTGGAGAAATCGAGCTCTTTGAAAATAGATCCACGGCGAGTGTGATATTTTTGTGCACGTGTCTCCTACGGTACGTGCGTCTACGTGTATGCGTATGTCCGTGTCTGTGGCATTGGTGCTACAGCCGTACTGGTGTGGGCTCGGTGTGCGTTTTTACTCCGAACCGTGGTCGAAAGGTCCTTAGACACAATGGTACGCCGCTGCTGCTGCCAGCAGGATTCTTGCCAATCCCGCACCCCGCACGAGTGTTGTAGTGACCCCCAACAAGGAAGGTGCTGTCGCGGCGTAGCCGCAGAGACTGCGTACCCCTACAATTAAGTTAAATACCTTTGAACTTTTTTTTTTTGGGGGGGGGGGGGGGGGCGGTTTAATGGATCCATGGTTGCTACTTGTATACCTACCCTTACCGCGACCAAAAACGAACCAGAGCATCCTATTATCTGGGGAGAAAATCCCAGGAAACTTTTTGCGGCTGGCAAAACCCCGGATCGTAGATAGCTCCATCAGGCTGTAGATGAGAAAGTTGAAGATTCAGAAACAATGAACGAGCTATGGTGGAGATGGGTGTCTTCACCTTCACCTCCACCATTCGGTTGCACTGCCGAACAAGCTCACAATCTTGCACCTGCTGCCCCTTGCTGCGTTTGTTGACACTCGAAACAGCAATTACAAGCAAGGAAAACGTCTATTGTCGATGCCCACCCCTACCACGTGTGGTGATACACACGCGTCCCTCCTCGCACGTGCTCATTGTATCCTTTGCTTGTGTCCTTATTTTCCAACCGGCATGACTGCAGGCGGAACTCGTTGGGAACGACGACGATCATCGGCACCACGGCCCTGACCCAGAGGGCTATGAAGAGCCAGAACCTGAAGGCTACGGCGGGTACGGCGTCGCCGGCGGCGGCGGGGGCGGGGGGAGGGCCGCAGATGCCGAGGCCGAGGATGCAGAGGACGTTCAGGCCAGGGTCGCGGCGTACACACGGCTAGCCGGCAAGAAGCAGCCGCAGACGACCGCTCATGTCCCCTCGCTTCCCAAGCCTATGGCGCAGAAGGTGCGTGCGTGCATTGTGGCGGTGGCAAGGTGATGGCGCTCCATGGTCATCCATGTCCGTGATTTTGGTGTTGGTTTTTTTGTCGTGCAACGGCTTTCTTTGGTGGTCTGTCCACCTGTGTGAGGATGTTGTGCACGGCCTTTTTCGTTTTTTTGTTTGTGTGTCCGCATGTGTGTCCAGGGGACAGAGCATGTCACAGATTCACACTTTCCCTCCTCCGCAAGCCCGCAGTCGTCAGGAAGAACAGCGTCTTCGTGTTGTTGCCGGGAATTGGTGTGTGCGGCATGTGCCGTATATGACACAAGATAACACACCCCCTGGACCGATGTTCAAAGCTCGATTACTCCACGACGAAGTGGACGCATAAACGAAACGATACATTATTGGGAAGCTCACGACGGGACGGTTCCAACGCCGCCGATTTCGGCGCCGTGACTGTTGTTGAGAAATCGAAATCTGAAAAATCGGTCCAGGGGGTGTGTTATCTTGTGTCATTTACGGTATAGCGATCAATCATGCGGTGTGTCACAGGGCTGATTTGGTTGGTTGGACGTGTGTTGGGGGGGCGGGGCCCGGGTGCCATGTCGGTTGGTGTTGTGCCTTCTTGGTGGCTGATTTTGCTTGCCTTTGCTTTGTGGGGGGAGACAAGATTTGAAGACCCTAACCGTCTCTCACAGGTGTTTCCAGATAGCCACGGATGTGTGCTTGGTTCTTGTGCGGTATTCGTCGCTGCGTAATGCCGAATGTCATCGAGAGGGCTCGTGGTTAATGGTCCAAAACCACTTGAGTCCTTTCCCGACAACAGAGTACCCCCCCCCAGAAAGAAAACTCTCCCGTCCGGCCCCGTCAGCCGAACAGACCGGCATCTGCGACCAACATGGCGGTTGTAGGGTTCGTGATCATTCCACGAACAACAAATAACCAAATCCCCACCCACCCCACCCCACCCCTGCCCAGTCGAAAAAACGGGCATCCGCGACCAACATCGCCGACTTTTACGGCGGCGGGGAGTCTGACGACGAAGAAAAGGAGGGGTTCGGCATGGATCCTTACAACAAGGGCGTGTTGTCGGGCCAGTTCCCGGAGGCGGGAACACACACGGAAGACGGGCAGCTTCGGCCACAGGTGAGCCTAGCAGCTAGCAGCAGCAATTTTACGCACGGCAACTAGTGTTTGTGGCGTGAGCGCTGGCGTCGCGTGTTTTTAGTGGTGTTGCCGTCGTCGTCATCGCCGTGTTCGTTGGTGTGAGAGCGTTGCCTTGCCTTCGTTCATCTGCCTTTGGTCGATGACATTCATTCATTCGTGTCATGCAGAAAGTGCTGGAACCACGTGGCGCAATTCTGAAGAGCAGGGATTGTCGCGGTAACCACGTAGTGCGTGTCGTGTTGTCCCGCCGCTTGGCTTGTTTTGACGAACGTTCCTGGCTGACGCCTTCTCCTGCATTCTCTACTGTACGCTAGCCTAGTCTCTCATTCCCTCTCTCTGACTTGGTTCACACGCAACGATTCCTGTCCGTGAGGCTCCCGAGGGTATATACCCTCCGCGCTGTTGCTACATGCCGATGCTGATATTCCCCCTCTCCGGCGAAAACCGGGCACATCACTCCGTCCCGGCATTGTAGGCAGGCGGGGTCTACCGTCTTTAGACTTAGGACCTCTACGGCTTGCGTTTGCATTAATACCCCCCCCGGAACGATTGGCCATCGGTGATCGGTCCTGTGGGATCAATGCTCCGTCCTCTCGAGGACGCGTGGTCAATGGTCTAACCGCCAAGGCGTGCAAGACATAAGAGTACCCCCCCTCCCCTCCTCTTCCCGTTGTGTGTTCTGACGCCCTCTGCGTATCTTGCAACTTGACATGTTCGCTGCTTCGAAACGACCATCACCCTCTGCGTTGCTACACTATTCCGATGCCCATGTATCCCCCCCCCGTCCGCCTGTTGCGTTTTTGTGACGCTCGCCGTGTATCACGCCCTGCCTTCCACACCATCGCCACGTTCGGTGCCAGGCGAGCTCCGAGCGCGACCAGCAGAAGCTCGCTCACCTCGTGAGGGTGGGGAAGCTAGGTGCCGCCCTCCGAGGGAAGGGCGGCACGTCGGGGAAACGGCGGTAGGTAGGAAGTAGATCGGAAGGGACGGAAGGACGGGATGGATGTACCAGGTTATACCTTTTTTATCCCACGCCAAGGTACGCCTTGTCCAAGCCACCATCATCAGCTCCCGACTGGAGGCAAGAGCGTGGAA